GGAAGCCTGCTTCTCCCTCTCCCACTCCCCCTGCTTATGTTCCCTCTCTCACTGTCTCTCTCTGTCAAATAAATAAATAAAATCTTAAAAAAAAAAAAAAAAGCATACCTTTAAAAAATAAAAAAAATAAAACACATTTTGACATTTATTTTATATGGGGGAATGCTATCTTTTATTTATTATCACTGACCTTAAGCTTCTAGGAAAAAGTATATAAACCTATTTCTTTTTTTTTTTCAAGATTTTAACTATTTATTTGAGAGAGAGAGAGAGCACGCCTGCACACAAGCCAGGGTGGTGGGGGGCAGAGGGAGAAGCAGGCTTCCCACTGAGCATGGAGCCCAACATTGGGCTTGATCCCAGGACCCCAGATCATGACCTGAGCCAAAGGCAGATACTTAACCAACTGAGCCACCCAGGCACCCCAGACCTATTTCTTTAATAGGTATATGAACAAAGAATCAAGACCTATACCTATATGGTAGGCACATTAAAATGAAAGATTAGGATGGGGAAGCAGTAAAATAATAGTTAAGAAAATGGTCTTGGGTGCCTGGGTGGCTCAGTTGGTTAAGCGACTGCCTTCGGCTCAGGTCATGATCCTGGAGTCCCTGGATTGAGTCCCGCATCGGGCTCCCTGCTCGGCAAGGAGTCTGCTTTGCCCTCTGACCCTATCCCCTCTCATGTGTTCTCTCTCATTCTCTCTCTCTCAAATAAATAAATAAAATCTAAAAAAAAAAGAAAATGGTCTCAATAAAGGAAAATCTTAAATTACTTTCCTGGGTCTTCTATAAACCAATTCCATATCTACTGAGCAACTCAGTAAGAGACCTGGGGATATAAACAGAATAATAATCTTCATGAGCTGAGAACATAAACAGGGAGATAAAGAGGACACAGAAGAAAACAATGATATAAGAAACAAGATAAGCTCGGGCACCTGGGTGGCTCAGTTGGTTAAGCGACTGCCTTCGGCTCAGGTCATGATCCTGGAGTCCCGGAATCGAGTCCCACATCAGGCTCCCTGCTCAGCAGGGAGTCTGCTTCTCCCTCTGACCCTCCTCCCTCTCATGCTCTCTGTCTCTCATTCTCTCTCTTGCAAATAAATAAAAATCTTAAAAAAAAAAAATTTTTTTAAAAAGAAACAAGATAAGCTCATTATATTTAGAGTAAAAACTGTATGAGATCAGAAATGAGATATAAAAATCCACTGGAATTGGTAAAGAAAAGCTTCATCTAGAAAGGCTTCACTGCAGAAATTAGTTGGGAATGGAAATACAGCAAGATATATCAGGTGAACATAGATATTTAATGATATTAGAAAAAGCAAAAGCAACTGGGGTTAACTACAAAGATTTAGTATACTACCTGCCATATGGTTTCACAGACCAATGCGAGTAAAAGGCACAACCAAGAAAACCAGGTTCAAAATATGAATAGAATGCTAATTATATATTTCTCACCCCCCTTCATTCCCTCGAAGTCACCTCCCCTCCTTCTATCACTTATATGCCCATATTCTTTTTGGTAAATGTCAAATGGATCTGATATAACTTAGCACTTATACTGATTAAAAGCCTAGAGGAATACAAGGATTCATTCTTTTTTTTTTTTTTCTTTTAAAGATTTATTTGTTTTAGAGAGAGCATATGTGAGTGGAGGGAGGGGCAGAGGGAGAGGAAGAGAGAATCTCAAGCAGACTCCACGCTGGGCATGGAGCCCAATGCAGGGCTCAATCTCACGACCCTGAGATGACAACCTGAGCCAAAACCAAGAGTCGGACACTTAACCAACTGAGCTACCTAGGCGCCCACAAGGATTCGGTTCTTAATGTAAAGAAGGGTGCCTATGACAAATCAGCAACTAATATACTCAAAGCAAAACTTTTAGATGCATTCACTCTCTTCTTATGAAGAAAAAAAAAAAAAAAGAAATATTCTCTATCACCAATGTTACTTAAGATCATTGAGATAGTACTTAATGTGGTATAGTGTTGAGAGAAAAAAAACCCACCAACCTAGAATCGTGTACCCTACAAAACTATACTTCAAAGGTGAAGGAGAAATAAAGATTTTCTGAGACAAGAACTAAGGAAACATGTTAGTAGACATGCCTTGCAAGATCCAACATCCATTCAAGAAAAAAACTCAACATACTAGGAATAGAGTGGAATTTCCTCAAGTTGTAAAGAACATCAAAAAAAAAAAAAAAAACCTACAGCTAACATCATATTAATGGTGAGAAATTTGAAGCTCTCCTGCTAAAACCAAGAACACTGCAAGGATGTCCCTTCTCAGCACTGCTTTTTTTTTTTTTTTTTAAGATCTATCTATTTATTTCAGTGAGAGAGAGAAAGTGCAGGGGGGAGGGGCAGAGGGAGAGAGAAATTCAAGCCAACTCCTGCACTGAGCGCAGAGCCTGACACATAGGGCTCAATCTCACAACCCTGAGATCAAACTTGAGCTGAAACCAAGAGTCAGATGCTTAACAACTGAGCCACCCAGGCGCTGCTCAGAACTACTTTTTCTTTTTTAAGATTTTATTTATTTATTTTACAGAGAGAGACACAGCGAGAGGGAACACAAGTCAGGGGGATGGGGAGAGGGAGAAGCAGGCTTCCCACCGAGCAGGGAGCCCGATGCGGGCTCGATCCCAGGGCCCTACGATCATGGCCTGAGCCGAAGGCAGACGCTTAATGACTGAGCCACCCAGGCGCCCCAGAACTACTTTTCAATGCTGTAACAGAATTCTTAGCTAATGCAATAAGAGAAAAAAAGTAAATAAAAGATATACAGATTGGCGAGGAAGAAATAAAACTTCCTACTGGCAGATGACACTATTATCTATGCAGAGAATCTGAAAAATTTTCCCAAAAAACTGGAATAAGTTATTATAACAAAATTGCAGGATATAAAATTAATGTATAAAAGTCAGTCTTTCCCATATATAAGCAATGAACAAATGGAGGTTGAAACTGAGATATTACTGCTTACATTAGCACACAAAAAATGAAATCCTTAGGTATAAATCTAACAAAACATGTACCAGATTTATATGAGGAAAACTACAAAACTGATGAAAGATATGAAGAAAGAACTAAATGGAGAGACAGAAATTCCATGTTCATAGAAGGATTCAATATTGTCAAGATGTCTTGATAATTCTGTAAATATTGTCAAGATCTATAGATACAATGAAATCCCAGAAAGTAATTTTAAATTTATTTATTTTTTATTT